CCAATCCTCACCCCCACACCAGTGGCTTCTCACCAAGTGCTGCTTGCCCTGCTGGGGGACTTTGCAAGGCGGCTCTGAGCTTGGAGGCAGAGAACCACCGCTGGAGGCTGTCCTGGTTCTCACCCCAGCACCCAGAAGAGGCTGACCGCAAGCCCCCAGGGGAAGGGAAGTCCAGAGAGGGAGACAGCTCCCATGGCGCTCAGGGCCCAGGCACCCACCTGGTCCAGGGAGGCATTGGTGATGGGCACCGAGAAATTGGGACACGCCGGGCTCTGGGCGTCCAGCAGGGGAAGAAGGCTCAAGACTGCAAGGGCCCAGGCCAGCGCCATGGCAAGACGAGGATGTGGCTAGAGTCCGAGGTACTGGTGGCTGAGGGGTGAGGTGACCTTTATATTGAGCTGTGGGCAGGGCCCTGGGGACCCGCTGTGACACAATCCTGTGAGTGTTTGGGAAATACCATGTGCAGAACCTTCCCTCCTTTCCCAAAGGTCAGCCCAGGTAAAGCCTCCAAGCTCGGGTCTAATTTTGGTCCCTGACCTTGAGATCAGAGTCCCAAGGTCTGGCTGTTCAAAGCCAAGGTGGAAAGGGCTGGAGTGATATTAGTGAAGCTGGTAGATTTCGATAGAGGGGCAGGTGCTCCTGGTTTCATCCAACTCCTGCCCCTCTGAGTGCCAGGACTTGAGAGGGACCCAGTCATAAATCAAATGCTGAAGGCAACTTGGAGGTTCCCAGGCTAGCCTGGGTGTAGGGGCGATGTGCAGGGGAGGGGTGCAGGGGGCGGTGGAAGGCAAACATGGATTCAGTTCCAGTTGAGTGTGGTAACAACTGTGAAAGACCAATAGTCCAGAGATTTCCCCAACCCAGGCCTGGAGGCAGGGACATTTTCCAAAAAACAAATAAACAAAAAACAACATGGGGCATTAAGTTGAATGTCTGTTTTCAGTAAATGTATTATGTGAACCATCTCCAACATCTGAAACAGGAAATCACTTCTGTGTTTTCTTCATCCTCTGCTATTCAAGTGGGAAGCTTGCTCTCTTTCACCAGCTGCCCCAATCCTGGGGCAGTGCCCAGCACACAGTGGGTGCTCAGGAAATCCTGTGGAATCACTAACTCTTCCACCCTTCTGCATTTCTACTTGAGGGGTCAAATCTTTATTCATACAAGTAATATTTTCACAAAGCATTATTATGGTATGCTTACAACTTTGGGTGCTCATCCATTTTAATTTTAATTTTTTTAAATGATAATTTCATTTATTTCAGAGAAGGGAGTGGGAGAGAGAGAGAGATAGAAACTTCAATGATGAGAATCATTGATTGGCTGACTCCTGCATGCCTCCTAGTAGGGGTCAAGCCCACAACCCTGGTTTTTGCCCTTGACCCGAATGGAACCTAGGACCCTTTACTTCGCAGGCTGATGCTCCATCCACTGAACCAAACCGGCTGGGGCCATCTATATATATAAAAGCCTAATATGTGCCCTAACTGGTTTGGCTCAGTGGATAGAGCGTCGGCCTGCGGACTGAAGGGTCCCAGGTTCGATTCCGGTCAAGGGCATGTACCTTGGCTGCGGGCACATCCCCAGTAGGGGTTGTGCAGGAGGCAGCTGATCGATGTTTCTCGCTCATTGATGTTTCTAACTCTCTATCCCTCTCCCTTCCTCTCTGTGAAAAATCAATAAAATATATTTAAAAAAATAAAAGACTTATATGCTAAGAGACACCTCAGGAGTTTGATTGCTCACTATGACATGCACTGACCACCAGTTGGTGGCGAGGAACAGAGTAAGGCCCCAGCTGGCAGCCAGCAGCCGCTAGGGACCCTGCCCGTGCACGAATTTCATGCACTGGGCCTCTAGTTTGATAAATTTTGAATATTTTTTCATGTTTCACTGTAGTGAGTGGTTGTGATTTTAAAGTTCACATCACCTTTCAGTCACTTCCTAGATTATAATTTACTTAATCATGCCCTCTCTTTATATCTTTCTGTAGCATTTTATGTTATTGTTTCCAGCTTTATTGAGGTATAATTGTCTATAGTGTTTTACACTGTGGTTTTTCCTCTCTGATGACAGGTGTCAGAGAGTGACCAAATCGCTTTCTAAAATTACCACTCCTGTCCAGAGTCACGTGTAAGGCTTTAGTGTTATCTAAAATAGCCCCAAACTAGAAAACATTCAAAAGCTCAGTTAGCAGGAAAATGGAAAAACAAATGGTAGTGTTTCTGTGCAATGAAATATTACTTAGCAATAAAAAGCAATGAACTACGGACACGGGGAACAATATGAATGAATCTCAAAAACATAATGCTGGGCAAAAGAAGCCAGCCTTGGTCGAGCCTATGCTGTCTGTTCTGTAGGGGTTCAGAACAAGCACCCCAAGATGTGCCATTCAGCAGCTTCTCTTTACCTGAACACAATCCGGGACCAGGAGGCTCAGGAAGAACCTTGAACCTTCCCCCTAACCGCCTAAAAGAATTGAGGACAGCCCTAGCCGGTTTGGCTCAGTGGATAGAGTGTCGGCCTGTGGACTCAAGGGTCTTGGGTTCGATTCCAGTCAAGGGCACATACCCCAGTTTGCAGGCTCGATCCCCAGAAGGGGGCGTGAAGGAGGCAGCCGATCAATGATTCTCTTTCATGATTGATGTTTTTTTTTTTTTAAATATATTTTATTGATTTTTTACAGAGAGGAAGGGAGAGGGATAGAGAGTTAGAAACATCAATGAGCGAGAAACATCGATCAGCTGCCTCCTGCACAACCCCTACTGGGGATGTGCCCGCAGCCAAGGTACATGCCCTTGACCGGAATCGAACCTGGGACCCTTCAGTCCGCAGGCCGACGCTCTATCCACTGAGCCAAACCAGTTAGGGCACATATTAGGCTTTTATATATATAGATGGCCCCAGCCGGTTTGGTTCAGTGGATGGAGCATCAGCCTGCGAAGTAAAGGGTCCTAGGTTCCATTCGGGTCAAGGGCAAAAACCAGGGTTGTGGGCTTGACCCCTACTAGGAGGCATGCAGGAGTCAGCCAATCAATGATTCTCATCATTGAAGTTTCTATCTCTCTCTCTCTCCCACTCCCTTCTCTGAAATAAATGAAATTATCATTTAAAAAAATTAAAATTAAAATGGATGAGCACCCAAAGTTGTAAGCATACCATAATGATACTTTGTGCAAATATTATTTGTATGGATAAAGATTTGACCCCGTCATGTAGAAATGCAGAAGGGTGGAAGAGTTAGTGATTCCACAGGATTTCCTGAGCACCCACTGTGTGCTGGGCACTGCCCCAGGATTGGGGCAGCTGGTGAAAGAGAGCAAGCT